TTTGTAAAGACAAAAAAAATCTTTTATCAATTAACCCCTTAGTGACAAGTGACATCCATAGTACGACACTAGCATGGGACCCGTTTAAACAGACTCTGTCGGCTTTACAATAGAAGCGATTCTGGCGACTCGACAGATCGCTTCTCTGGGTCGGCAAACAGGCCGCACTGTCCCCCCGCCATGTTTCCCGGGCTCCGCTGCCCTCTTACGGGCAGGGGACCAGCATCTTGGGTGTCGGTGGGAAGCTGAGGAGGAGAGCGGCGAACATCCATTCAACTAACTCCTCCCCGTACTATTGGAGCGGGAGTGGCGCGTATTGCATCACTTCCGGTCCCATAGCAGTCAATGCTGGGCTCCTGAAGCAATAAGCTATTGAAGTGTGATCTGCACTTCAATAGCTTATTTAAAGTGTAAAGGGGATACTGGCGGTCTTTTGGACCCCCAGTATCACCTTAAAGAGTACCTGTCACCACCAATATGCTATCACATGGGTGGCTTGTAAGCCCCCCTATGTGATAGCAATTAAAGTAATGTATAAAAAAAATAAATTAATAACAGTTTTTAAAAATAGTGTCAAATTAAATAAATGTAAAAATAATTAAAACTTTTTTTTAAAGTCCTCCACCCCACAAACACGTGCGCCATAACTTAAACGCACGTCGGGTGTGACTACATATGAAAACGACGATCGCGATACACATGTTGGGTATCACCGTGCAAGTCAGGGTGAGAGCAATACAGATGCACACAATTTTTTACCTGGGCATGTTGGGTATCTATTTAACTTGTTGTAACCTCATATTTTATATTGTATTGAAATAATTGGTATTTTATTGTGTTTTGGGGCACTACATTTAACTTAAGTGCATTTTTCAAAAAATGTTTTGATTTGATAATAAGTTGCGCTAATGTCGTGCAATATAAAAATTTGCAACTGCCATCATTTTATTCTACAGGGTCCTGGCTTTCAGAAAACATATAATGTTTGAGGGTTTGAAGTAATTTTCAGGCCTATTTTTTAAAGGTCACCTTTATTGATAAACTCTACACTGTACATAGAATGCCATCACAAATCACCCTAAAAGTGGTTCATCTGATATCTCTGTAGATTATATATATATGTAGATCTATATATATATATATACAAAATATACATATATATATATATTATATACTGTATATATGGATGCACGATATCGGTAACGATACTGGGCATTTTCTTGAGTACTCCTACTCATGAAAATGCCCTGATACTAAATGCCGACATTGACTGGTTACATTTTTAAACTGAAGCACCTGTCTGAGGTCCCGCGCTTGCTGGGGACCTCAGCAGCCTTCCTGTGAACCACACGGTTTCTGTTTACAGCGACATAGGGCTTTCAAGGTGCTCATGGCCTTGGGCAGAGTCAATACACCAAGGCCCTTCATAGCAGAACCCGCCTCTGAGAGCCACCCACCTGGCCTGACCAGTACTACCTATGATATCTCCCCACCTACACTCCTATTACCACCCAGCAATCCAGCCCACCTCAAGCTTGCCCCTATCTAGAGGTTGGGGGAAGGATCAGTCTACACAGAGAGCATTTTCAACATTTTACTTAAAGCAGGGATGTCCAAACTGCGGCCCTCCAGCTGTGGTGGAACTATGAATTCCATGAGGTGTTGCAAGATTCTCACAGCCACAGACATGACTCCCAGAGAGAGGTGCTTCATGGGATTTGTAGTTTCACCACAGCTGGAGGGCCGGAGTTTGGACCTCCCTGACTTAAAGCTTCTTCATCTATACATAATATTACATACTTCAGTCATCCACTTCCCAGTGACGGCACATTCAATATAATAATTCCATATAATTCCACTTAATAGTTACCAATGATAGGTGAGAGATGTGAACAGTCAAGTTGTAGCCCAGAGCCACAGAGAGGTTATTTCCTAGAGTCCTGCATCCTTACATAGGCATGCTAGTAGTCACTTTAGATATGTGCTGCACCTATCCTCCCTTGTTTGCTGACAGATATCAACAGTGACTACATCCTGGTAGGCCTGGTCCTATGCCTTCCCATGGACCATCCTTCTGCTTAGTAGTAATCACTCTGTTGATCTGCCTCAATGTTTTCGTCTGTCTCCTGGAAGGCTAACACAAGGCAAGGCAAGCCACTCCTCTGCTCTCCACTCATCTCACCTCCCTCCTCCCTTCTGCCATCTTCTTTCTCCCTTCTCTAAGCTAGTAGATGAACAGTTGCTGGAGACTGCTCTTTCCCACGTGGTCCTGTACTAGACAGGAAGTTCAGGGAAGTGGAGCTGAGATAGTTGAAGCCAGAGGCGCGTTCAGTTCCTTAGCCAAGCGCTGAGTAGCTGTTCTGTAGCACTTCAGTTCCCTGCAGAGCTTCACTGAACGCTTCGACTGCACAGTGCTCAGCAAAATGGCGGTGGATAATATTTTGACTAATAAATACCATTTTCCAGTTAATATTTGGTGTGCTCGTCCACCAAAACATTAAATTGTAGGTTCCCACGCTGAATTGATTTTCTCCTTCAGGCACCTATCTCCACCACTGCCAGGTGTGCATACAGTTAAAATGGCCGCTGGTGCTCTGTCCTCACCTTCTCCATCACACTCAGCACTCTGCATTCATATTCACTTCCGCTGCGCGTGGTAAGTTAGCAGTGCTGAGCACTGACTTGCAGCACAACGTTCAGCGGCAGTTTGCTAACTTAGTACTTGCAGCGGCTGAGCCACTGAACACGACTTAGCTGTTTGGAAACATAATGACTTGGGCAAAAATGTAGAGAAATAGTTTGCTGGGCAATGTCTATTTGTTTGATCTGGGTACAAAAAAAAAAAGAGAGTTTAATACTACTTTAAACTGAAATTCTATTAAACTCATACCTGTTAAAGAACAGTATAAATACTTACCTTTTTCTGCTGCTTGTTTCAATAAGTGGCCATCTCAGACATCTCAACTCTCCCAGATGTTCCCGGAGTCTCCCACTATTAGATAGCAGCCCCCGGATACCCGGGAGAGAAACATTTTCTCCCTGAAAGGTTTACTCTGCCTTATCTAGCAGAGTAAACCTTTCTCTGCTCTGTTGTTTTTTTATTTTCTTGACATCGGGGGCCGCCGGCCGCCGCCAGTCAGAAAAAAAAAACGGCATAGGAACGAATAGCTATGTCGCTATTGGCTATTGCAAATTGTAATAGCCAATAGCAGACTAGCTATTGCACCTGTCCACTGCTGCCGTCAATCACCAAAGGTGGACCTTAAGTTCTCCATCTGGTCCTCCTTTACTGACTGACTGACAGCAGCAGGGGGCGGGTGCAATAGCCAGCTTGCTATTGGCTTTTGCAAATTGAACTAGCCAATAGCAATCTAGCCATTCATTCCAATGCTGTTTTTTTTTTTATCCTGACGGCAGCAGCTGTTAGAATACTAAAAAAACAGGAGATAGCAGGGGAAGCATTAGCTTCTTTGCTATCTGCCATCATTACAGGGGGGTTCTCTCTTCCTTGTTGTTGCACCATTCCCCCCCCCCCTCTGCGGGTGGGGACAGAGGGCACCTCCCTGAAATGAGAAGGGCACCTCCCTGAAATGACTTATTTCAGGTTGGGATCCCTGCAGTCTTTCTCCAAAGTCTACAGCAAAACTGACATGGCTATTTCTTGTTTAGATTTACACGGTGCCCCTGCTGGCCGTTCACCCTACTACACCGACGTTGGGTGACTGTCACGAGCACTGCAAAATATTTATTCTACCCTTTTCTGTGACACTCAGATATAGTGCTGAATTGCGTTGTTGACTGGCTGGTAAATCTGCTGGAAATGTGCACCTTGCTCTAAAAAACAAGCTATTGATTGCTGGGATACACTGGAGGTATTTACCTGCCTTTGTGCTGTGTTGGACTCCTAGTGCATCTGCACCTTTAAGGAGGAATTGCATCACTTCCGGTCTCGCAGCCTGCCCTTTCGCTGAAGAATAAAATGGTGGCAGTTTGACATTTTTTTGTTGCAAGATATTAGCGCACCAAACCCAAAATGTTTTTAAAAATGCACTTGGGTTAACTGTAGTGGCCAAAAGCACAATATAACACCCCCTTTTTAATAGAATATAAAAGATGAGGTTACGATCAGTAAATATATACCCAACATGCCCGGGTTAAAAATTACGTGTGCCCTTAAAACAGCGACAAAATACGTTAACCCAAATTGTTCATAGACGGCGCTTTAAAAGCCTGCACAGATCACCAGTTTGAAAATATCCATGAATATTGGACCTAGAATTATAGCTCTCACTCTGGAACATGCAGTGATACCAAGCATGTGAAGTGCATATGTTGTTTTCATACGTAGGCGCCCCAACACGTGTTTATGTTAATACACATGTGCTTGCAGCGCCTTATTTTTACATTTATTTTATTTAATCCTTTTTTTTTTAAACTTTTTTTTTTTTTTACTAAACTTAATTGCTTACAAGCCCTCTATGTGATAGTTTACTAGTGGTGACATGTACTCTTTAAGTTATGTTGTCCGCACACCATTCTGCTTCGGACTGTCTTTTATATTCGTATTCCTTTAGTATGACATGTGAATGCAACGCTTGGGAGCCTCACAGGACCCCTCTGTCAGGCACTTTGCCTGACGAAGGGGTCCTGTGAGGCTCCCAAACATTGCATTCACATGTCATGCTAAAGAAATACAAATAAAAAGGACTTTCCAAAGCAGAACGGTGTGCGGACAACATATCTTGTAGATTGTATATTGTTGCACCATCCATCAGTTGTTGAAGCACCCGTTGGATTGTGGGGTACATCGGTACGGTGTGCGAAGTTGAAATTACAAAGACATGTACTCTTTAAGGTGACGTGAGGGGTCTAATAGATCCCTAGTGTCACCTTTTCACTCCAGAGAAGCTATTGGAGCGCAGTTTGCACTCCAATAGCTCCTTGCTTAGCTTCTGCAGCCAAGCAATGACAGTTGAGGGACCAGAGGTGATGCAGCGGCGTCACTTTTGGTCCCATTCAGCGGAAAGGAAACCAGCGAATGGATATTCATCCATTCGCCGATCTCCTTCCCCGCTTGCGGCCGACATCCACTCCTGCAGGAGGGGCAGCGGAGCCTGGCAAGCAAGAGGGGGGTGGCACACACTGCAATGGACCCTGGAAACGCAATTTGGCTCAGACGCAGGAATCATTTCCAGTTTAAACCCAACAGTTGGCTTTACACATGTAAACATAGCCACTGGTGGTTTGTTTATCCTATGGGTTTTGGATATGCAAGGGTTAAGTGTTCATTTTGGTCTACGGTCTAAAATAAAGATATACTTTCCTGATCCATGATCCCGCCTGGCTGTTAGACCATGTGGAGTGGGAGAGAGGTGACCAGTCACCGCCACAGGATCGAGGTTCAGGTGAGTATATCTTTTTTATTTTAGACACTAGACCAACATGAGCACTTAACCCTTGCAGCCCCACTACAAGTGTTAATTTGTAATTTGCCCAGAATTCGTCTCTAACGTTAACCTGTTGTTAATCTGTTCAATCTAAGCGGGTAGTTTAAATAAATAGCAGGCATTTGGAGGTAATAGCACATGCCAGCAGATTTCCTCCCATCAATTATAAGTAAGTAATTTGCTTACAGGGTTAAAGTTCAAATTGAAAAAAAAGTGAGAATTTTTTGAATAAAAGGGTCTTGATTTTAATTTATTAATCGATTCATTCAGTTTTTCAATTATTCATTCATTTTTTTATCAAAAAAGCTAATTCCCTCATCATTTGTAAATATTTATTTAATAGATTGATCCATGTCCAACCTGTTAAATATATCAAATGAAAAGGGTTTTATTTTTTATTTAACCCCTACGTGACTGACGACGTACAGTGTACGTCGCCAGCATTGGGGCTGTTTAAACAGACTCCCGGCGACTTTTGCCGCCGGGACTCTGTTTAAACTTGTAGAGCCGACTGTCGGCTTTACAACAGAAGCGATCCTGGCGACTTACCTGTCGCCAGATCGCTTCTGC